TGACTGGCTACTTGGATTCAGTCACCTGCATTGACAGATTCAGGAATGTGTGAGAAAATGTGCATGTGTGTCTTTTGAGGGTCCTTCCCCCACAGGGTCCCAAGCAGGAGGAAGATTCTCTTAGAATCCTGAGTTAGAAGGATTCTGGAGATGTCTTCTGTACCCTAGGTGGCTCTTGTCCCTCTAATGGCACTTCAGACTCCTCACCCTGATAGTGAATCCTGAAGCCATTGCCCCTTGGAACCCGAGGACTCTGGAAGTGCAGGAGCAGCCGGTTTGTTGGGCTCCGAAGCACCTGTCCTTCTCCCAGCATGGAGGAATTGGCCAGGAGTCTGGGGGCCAGGCCTGGAGACCCCCCACCAGCCAGCACCAGGAGCTCTTCCTCCTGAGACAGGTTGAGTGTCTGCACCTAGAGAAGCCAGATAAAGAGAGGCCAGGGCACGTCAGCAGGGGGAGGGGTTACAGGACCACCTAAGCCCCCACCCTCCGGTAAACCACACATGTTGCAGAAGAGTTTTGAGATCGTCTAAGTCAGAAAACAGGTTCACCGATTCCCAGACCAGACTTAGTCATACTCAATGGGCACCACAGGAAAGTACCTGAATCTCAATGCCATATCCAGGGTAGACATGGATGCTGTAGGTGCAATCCAGGAGCTCCACAGAGCGGCTGGCACTGCTCCCCAAGTCCGGAGACTCCACAAACCCTTCGCCCTCCGAGATGTTGTTATTGCACAGAACTAAAGAGATGTAAGTGGCTGGGACTGCGAGGTCCTGTGTGATGCCCTCCCAGTCAAGCATCTTCAGTGCTGGCCTGTATCCCCACCACCCTTCACCATCTTTATCCAGTGCTCCCATTCTACCTCTACTGAGACTTTCCTTCACCAACTACAATGTGGATGGAAGCCCACAGAAGAGCCCTTGGATTACCCCTCTCTGACCTGTACCTAAATCTCGTTCCACATGATCCAAGCAACTTTCTCCCATCCAGACCCACATGGGATTATCCATGCCCTTTCCATCACCTCACCTGGACTGGTGACAGTAGTGGTGACAGTTGTTGTGGTGATGATGGTGGTGGTGGTTTCCTCCTCTCCTCCCTCAGGCCTGAGGGGTGGGACTGGGGAGGCGGGGCCAGGTGGGGGCGGGGCTGTAGTTCCAGGGGGCGGGGTCAGCAGTTCTGGCGCGGTGGGGCCTGCCCCCCTGACCCCCTTAGAGGTGACAGCTGTCGTCAGAGGCCCTGTCCCTGGCTCAGTGGCACGTGGCAGGGAGGGTGCTGCAAGAGTCTGGCCGGCTGGAGGGGTGGCTAGTGTGGGGTCTGGGTCAGATCCTGAGATAGTTTAAGGGTAGTCAGCACACAGGAGCAGCAAATTGGCCCATGGGGGTGGGGAACAGCTTAGAAGGAAACACCCCAAAGCCTCCCCACAGGGCACAGGCCCCCACTTCCCCTTACCCACCCAGGCTCCCCACATTCTCTCAACATTTTGCAGCTAAAGCTCCCTTTCTCTTCCCACCACTGCCTTGACAGCCCCCTTGAGCCTCTCCCCACCCCCAGATCTGGCTCTCGATCCTGCCTACTCTCTCTCTCTTCTCTGTCTAGCTCTCTCTGGAGCTTTTCTCTGCTTAGCATTCTTATTGCTGTCTGGTTTTATGATCCTAGATCAACTGCTAGTTGTCTGTCACTCTCTGTCTTGCCATTTTTGTGACTGGTTGTCTGAATTCACATCTCTCTCTCTGGATACATGACCTCTTGACTGTTCATCATTTTGTCCCTGTCTCTGGTTCTGTCGAGGGCCAGCTTTGACTCTTTCTCAGCTCGCCTCAGCTGATTTTCATTGGCTTCCTAGGGGTCTCTCCCACTGAACTCTCTCCACCTGCCTTCCCTCTAGCCAGGCACTCCATCTCTCAGAAACATAGCCTTTCTTTCCACTTTTATGCCATGTTGTGGGCCTCACCCGGCAAGAAGCCGATCTCTGGGCCCTTCTGCAGCAAAGCCCCATGGAGCAGCTCAGCCAGGTCCTCAGAGGTCACTGTGGGAGTCTCACTTCCAGGCTCTGGCCTCATCTCATCCTCCTTCAGGGGCAGACCTAGGAGGGGAAGTCCTGTGAGCCTCTCCATTCCTCTACATCCTGTCCTTATCTGGAGAGAGTTTTATTTTCCCCCAGAGCACATCTTATCAGACACTCAAAGGGTCCCAGGCTGGGCTAAGAGCCGAGATCAGAGGAGTCGTTCCAACCTGCCCTCTCCCTCATAGAGTTTCAGCCAGCTCCTGGTCTCTAGGCCTTCCATGAGAACCTTAGTTAGTACTAACCCTGAACAGCTCTAGCAGGGTGTGCAGAACCTGGCCTTTGGGACTCCTTTCTATTTCTCCCCAGTGAAGCCCTCCCCCAATCCCAAAACTCTGAGGAGAGTCTGAGGTCTGAGAGTCTGAGAGTACCTCCCAGACCTTGCTTCTGCAGTGCCAGCTTTCTCTCTGGGTTTCTGCCTCTGCAGACAGCCTGTCTCTCTCTCTCTCTCTCTCTCTCTCTCTCTCTCTCTCTCTCTCTCTCTCTCTCTCTCTCTCTCCTCTCTGCAGTCTTTGCAGCCTCTGCTGCCTTTTCTAGACTCAGGCTGGGGATGAGGGTAGAGTCAGGGATTGAATATCCCTGCTTGTGTTCTTCTGTCTTTGTCCATATGTCCAAGAACATTTGTGTGTACAGCGCCTGGCATCTCTCCCAGCACCTCCATCTCCCACCCAGGTACCCTGCCTGCTTCTACCGCCTCCGCAGAAATCCACCCAACTTCCCCCAGCTCATCTCGAATTTAACCCCTAAGATACAACTAAAAGCTTTTCTTATTCATTTCTCTATCTCCTTAATATCAGGAGTTCAAGGGCTCCACGTACCAGTCAGAGAGCCTTGGCTTGCCCCTTCCCAGTCAACTGTGCCCCTCCCCTCCCCCACAAGCTCGGAAGACTCAATATCTTCAGAGAAAGAAGGTAGAGGGCCCATGAGAACCTTCCCAGGGCCCACCCCCACATGTCCTTACCCTCAATCCAGACACAGCTCAGCAGAATTAGGAACAGCAGCTGGGAAGGTGGCGGGTGCTGGGCCTTGGGAGTCCCCATGGCGACTCACCCTAATTTTTCTCCTCTGTGGCTCTTCTGAATAATCTAACTGTCACTTTCCCTCCGCGTCCTTTTATCTTTTCCTTTAATTTTGCTTTTCTGCTAAGGGTCAGCAAAGGAAGACAATTTTTCTTCCTTTGGGATGGAGGAGCAGAATTGGCCTAGGGGTTGCTTGGAGTCCGCCCCCTTTTGCTCAATCTTTATCCTTTGCTCTGCGATCTACGGCAAAGGGGGGCGCGGCTCCCGCTGCGGGGGGTGGGGCCGAGAGGGCCGAAGGTTATCCCCTTGTTCGGGCGCTTGGGCCCATCGGAATGGATAGCTAGCTAGCTGGGGGAAGTGGGAGGGGTAAGGCAGCTTCCGGGGGTCCAGGGTGGGTAGGCTTGAGGATCCAGAGGGCCCTTATGGGGTTCAACTGAGGCTTATCACGGAGAGGAAGAGGGAAGGGGTTGCGGAACCAGGGAAGCTGAAGCTCGGCCACTGGAACTGCGGGAGGGAGAAGCTAAGAAAGGTGTCAAGCCCACGTCAGATCCTGGGGACGGGCGAAGGGAGGGGCCTGGGATTTATTCTCTGATGAGGGAGGAGGAAGTGCAGATGGAAGAAGGAGGGATCCCGAGCCAGGACCGTAATCTGCACTCCGAGGCCCCTAGGGGAGCGGAAGGAAACTCTGGTCCCAGTAGTAATTAGGTTCCCTCCCGGCGCCATTCCAGAACATCTGGTATCTCTGCACCTGATCTTCCTAAGGTGCCGAGAGTGGGCACAGCTTGGTTCACGTCTTCCTAGCCTGTCCAGTATGTCCTCTGTCCACACCCGGACCTCCCAAGGGCCTTCACTATGCCCTTTACAGAAGCTCTGGTGGGATGGGCTAGCCCCTCCCGCAGGAAAAAGGGGAGTATCCAGGTTTATAAGGAATCTGAGGGGTACGTGTTGAGACTCCCTCCTCCAGCAGGCGACTTGACAGGGGCCTGCACCCCAGCGGCTACCACCGGTGATCTGGCTTTGCCTCTCAGCAAGCGGGCGCCCTTTCAGCACCTCGGCGCACGGACAGCTCCTGGCCCCGCCTACGAGGCGGGCCTTGAAGCCGGTGATTGGCTGAAGCTGCTTCGCGAACCCGTGTCTCGTTCAGGGCTGGCTCTGGCGTAGCCAAGCCAGGGGAAAGGGGAGTCACAGGCCAACCTCTCCAGGGACCCGCAGGCCCACGGCCGGACTCGCAGTACAAGAGCATCCGCCTCACGCGCGGGTTGGGCCCTCGCCCCGCCCCCGAGTCTGTCCCGCCCTTCTTTTCGCATTGCGGGGCGGCTGGAGGTTGGCACTGTGCCTCTGTACCCCACGTGGCGCTCGGTCAGGGCTGGGGGAGGGGGTCTGGAGAGGCAAATTCAGAGAGAAATCTTCCCCCCTCCAACCCCCTTGCAGGGCTGAGCTGCGGCTGCCTCTGGGAGGGGTCCTGGGTAGCTAAGCAGAGAGGGCTGCGGGAAGGAGTGACGTCAGGGTGAGTGGGCGCCCAAGAAGGGGTGTGTAGGAGATCGGGAATTGGAGAGGAAGGACTCGACCCGGTCGAGGGAGAAGACAGGTTAAGGGGAGAGGAAAGAGGAAAGAGAAAGAGCGGCTCTAGACTGGGGCTGCGAGCCAGGTAGAGTAGGGACCGCTGTTGTCAGGGGAAGCTAGAAGAAAAAGAAGGGGTAGATAAGGAAAGGGGGGCTGGAGTGGAGGGAGGAGAAAGGAGCCGAGACTGGGAGACTGAGGGTGGAGAGAGGGGAAAGGAAGAGGAGACTGTGGGAAGGAGAAAGGAGAGGAGGGCCACAGAAGGTAGAGAGGACTAGAGCAATCTCAGAGTGGAGACAAATAGAAAAGGAAGGGGAGAGAGAACTAGAGGCAAGTGAGGGAAAGGTCTGTTGGATCCTGTAGGAGGAGTGAACAGGAGGAGGGATGTGGCAGGGAGGGAATCAGGAAGCAGTCATTGAGGGGTCAGGTGGAGAACTGGGGGGACCAGGAAGCTGGGGTCTGCAAGATGCAGCAGGCCTCTTGGCCAGGGCTTCTTTGCCTATCATGTTTCCATGGCCACTGCCCCTAGGCTCTTCAGCTCTTACAGTGCTCCTCGGAGCACTCACTTCTCTGTTCCTTTGGTACTGCTACCGCCTGGGCTCCCAAGACATGCAGGCCCTGGGGGCTGGGAGCCGGGCTGGAGGTGTTAGTGGTATACCTGATGTATGTTCTCAGACTGGCCCAAGGGGCCCTGGGGATCCTGGGGAAGGACACAGGGCAGAAGGTCTAGTGAGCAGGCGGCTTCGGGCCTATGCCAGGCGTTACTCCTGGGCTGGGATGGGCAGAGTGAGGCGGGCAGCTCAGGGAGGCTCTGGCCTCACAGGAGGGACAGGGGTCCTGGGCATTCAGCGCCCTGGCTTACTTTTCCTACCAGACCTGCCTTCGTCCCCCTTTGTGCCACGTGATGCCCAGAGGCATGATGTGGAGCTCCTACAGAGCAGCTTCCCCGCCATTTTGCGGGACTTCGGGGCTGTGAGCTGGGACTTCTCAGGAACTACCCCTCTGCCTCGGGGCTGGTCCCCACCCCTGGCCCCTGGGTGCTACCAGCTTCTGCTGTACCAAGCAGGCCGGTGCCAACCCAGCAACTGCCGGCGGTGCCCAGGAGCCTATCGGGCACTGAGGGGGCTGCGGAGCTTCATGAGTGCCAATACCTTCGGCAATGCTGGCTTTTCCGTTCTACTGCCTGGGGCCCGGCTTGAAAGCCGCTGTGGACCCACCAATGCTCGGGTTAGATGCCATCTGGGTAAGTATAGCCTGCCTACAAACGCTCCGTATTTCCTACTTCACCACCTCTTCTCTGACATTGGGTCTTTCTGCACTACAGTTCCTATCATGCCTCTCTTCTCAGAATCTTCCCCAACCAGATCTCCTGAGTTCCGCTTTCACACAAACTATCCAGTCAGTGGCGGCTTGCATGGTGTTCCACGCAGACTCTTACTCTTCGTCTCCAACCACTCTCTCCCCTTTTAATTTAAAGGAAATCCTCACTGAACTGTAAGTGGTCAGTGTTACTTGCCCTAAAGAGAAAATACTCAGAAAATCAAATTTAAATTGTAAAAAGAGACAGCCTTGAGGAAGGCATGGTCGTGCATAACTGTAATCTCAGCCCCTGGGAGACTGAGGCAAGGATCCCAAGTTTGAGGCACGCCTGGGTCTTATTTCTTTTTTATTTAGTGTAGGGAGTATAGTGACATAATCTACAGGACAGGGTGTCTCACTATGTATGTGGCCTGGAACTAGAGACCAGTTGGCCTCAAACTCACTGAGATCTACCTCTCTCTTCCTCCCGAGTGCTGGGATTGAAGGTGTGTACAGTAGGTAGCCTACTTTATTTAGGCTTCTTCACTGATAAGCAACAATGTTAGTGGGGTTTTCAACAGCACCAACCCGAGGTTTCCTTTCTAATATTCTAAAGATTGAAAGGAAATCAGAGAAGAAGTAAATATTATGACTTCGGCTTATCCTAAATCTTTGTGCTGCCAGCTGGATGTGTCTTGTGCTTTGCACAATACTTTTCCTACCAGACCCACCTTCACCTCCCGTTGTGCCACGTGACCCCAGAGGCATGACAGGGAGCTCCTAGAGGGCAGCTTCTCCTATAAAGCAGCTTCCCTGCCAATTTACAGGACTTGAGCTGGGAGCTGGGACTTCCCAGGGACTACCCCTCTGCCTCAGGGCTGGTCCCCAACCCTGGTCCCTGGGTGAAGGCTTTCTGGCTGCTCCTTGCAGATACTCTGCACATGTTGGATTTTCAACCTTAGTAATGGTGAGAAAACTACCCAGTCTTAAGACTTTTCCAGATGCCACTTTTTGGAATGTCTTGGTTATTTTCTCAGCACACTCGACTGGGGTCCTGGAGTCAGACTGGAGCCATTAGAGAAGTGCCCAGTACACAGATTCTGGAACTGAACTGGACTAAACTAAAAGCACAGGAGGAGATTGCTCAGGGGAGCTTTTTTTCCAAATGACAGACATGCTTCCCACAGTAAGACTTCCCAGTGTCTTAGCATCCTTCAGACCGCACTATGTGTTGAATGTACTCCAGCCATCTTTGAGAAGACCACAGAATCTGGCCTGTGAGGCCCATTGAGCAGGCAGGCCCCCTGAACACTGGCAAGAAAGGTGGATGCCCATTCTCTCCTCACAGGCCTGAAGATCCCTCCTGGTTGTGAGCTGGTTGTTGGTGGTGAGCCCCAGTGCTGGGCTGAAGGGCACTGCCTCCTGGTGGATGACTCCTTCCTGCACACAGTGGCTCATAATGGTAATAGCATTCACAGTATGTTGGGTTGGGGGACTAAAGAGCTGAGGAATTCCAGCCAATCTTCTCTCACCAGCACCATTTTGGGACTGCACAGCCTTGGGCAAGTCACAGCTCCTCCAACCACCTGGGGGGCATCTGCCTTTTTACCAGGTGACTGCATGTGAGCTAGGGCCATCAGCTAGACTATCTACACCCCTGTCCTCTGACTGTGGGACCTCAGGCATTTACTTAACCTCATCATGTCTGTCAGTATAAAATGTACTCATTTTAGGCACACAGAGTTATCACTGTAAATGCCAGGTATGGTGACACTCAGGAGGCTGAGCCAGGAGGATGGTGAGTTCAAGGGCTGGGCTACATGATGAGACCCTGACTTAAATGAACAAATATAATGCTGGTGAGGGCCTGCTACTGACTTTTGCTTTCCTCAGTATATGATATGAATTCTGGCACAGAAGTTCTTGTATCAGCTGCTGTCTCCATCCCTATGTGCCTTAGGATCCCCTGAAGATGGACCTCGAGTAGTCTTCATTGTAGACCTCTGGCACCCTAACGTGGCTGGGGCTGAACGCCAAGCTCTTGACTTTGTCTTCGCACCAGACCCTTGAAAGAAGCTGTTCTCTTCGCACCTGAGCTGGAGTGATGCTGCACTCAAGGACAGCTTGAGTGGAGGTCAGGACCTCTTCTCCACTGTGAGGGGCAGGAAGGTGTGACTTACTCAGCCAGCATTGAATACAAATTCTGAATCCTCTCTTAAGTCCTGATTCTTTCCTTCCTAGTTACCAATCCCAGGCTAGGGCTTGGGGCAAGGGGCTCATGTTTCTACCACATTAACAGCCAGGCATCTTCTTAACACAAGCTGTCTGCATCCCTCACTCGAGAGTCAGCAGCAGACCGTCAGCTCAACTTTATTCCAATAATTTAATAGAAAATTAAAATAATAAATAATATGAAACAGATCAAGATAGCTGAGCTGGTCCAGGTCCAGACCAGCCTAGTACAAAGTTAAGGAGGTAGGGTGAATGGTGAGGCAGGAGGGGCAAAGTACTCTGTTGCAATGGCAGAAAGCAGCGTGGAGTGTGGTTGGTGGTACTGTCTCTTTCTATATGCGTGTTCAATGTATTAACACAAGGGAAAGGGAATCCTGTGTCATCCTCAACCAGATGGTAAGAGAAAGATGGCAGAACAAGGATGTGGAGGAGAGGTGGACACTGGCTTTCTGAAGAGCCCCACCAGAGGGTAATGCTGGAATGTACCGTGTGGTTAGCAGTGAGTGGCAATGACTGGAGAGGGCTCACTGAACATAGCATGCAATGAGGGGACAGAGGGAAGACCCACGACTTGGCCAGCAGAGCCGGGGCAAAGAGACAGAGGGACTAGGTCCCAGAAGCAAGAGGAAAGCAGGGGAAGATCAAGGTCAGTCCTTGAAGACAATCTGTTGGCCGTGAGGACGCTCGTCATGGGTGATATGGCGGCGGACGTGAATCCTCCGGACACGGTGCTCTCGGTTCTCTTCGTCGTCTCCTCGGCCTGCCCCACCACCTCCAGCTGCACCCCCTGTGGCCTCCAGGAGAGCTAGATCTGGGCCACGGGAATTCTCATAAATTAAGATATTCAGTGTCTCTTCGAAGATGCGAGCCTCAGGGAATTCCACCTGCAAAAGGTTAGCAACCCGTAGCTCCTACCTCTGGCCTGGTCCCACAGCATTTCCCCAGTGGCTCCTCTGTGGGCTCTCCTCCAGGCCCTGAAGGCAGTTAGGCTTATTTTCTTTCCTTCACTGGCCAGGCTCTTAGAATGCTTTTCATTTAATAAGTCCTGAGTACCTGCCACTATTCCTGGGTTGTTCTAAGCATCAGGAGTGCAGTACTATAACAAATGCTTGCCCTCAGCATGTTGGAAGTCTAGGGGGGAAACACAGACACATTCTTCCTAATTTCCTACGATACATATTAATTCAGATGATGATATTTTATGCAGAAAGCTGGAAAGGGGGACGTGAATGGTTTTTCTCAAGAGAGTTCCATCTTTCAGTAGGGAATTCAGACAAGGCCTTGCTGGGAATGTGGTGTTTGACCAACCCAAGAGAGGGAGGCAGATCACTAGAGAAAACAAAATGAGGCATGGCAGCAAGACAGGAACTTCTCTCAAATGCCAATCCTGAATGAAGAAGAAAAACAGAGGAAAAAGATGCAGGAAAAGGGGCACTTTGCTGGGCAGTATTGAAAAGGATAGGATGAACCCAGAGTCTCATGCATGCTGGACCAGTTCTACTGCTGAGCTATACACAGACTCTTAATTGTTTATTATTAATTATTTTAAGATAGTCTCACTAGGTTGTCCAAGATGGCCTTGAACTTGTAATCCTCCTGTACAAGGGCAGCCAATACGACTGAGTGAAACTGCCTCCCAGTTATGTGTGATTACAGGTGTATACCACCACACCCTCCTCCTAAGCTACCTCTTCCTATCTTCCTAATAGCAGGGAAAAATACCCTTCTGGAAGATGAAGTATATTTTTTGCCTTTGATCAATGTTTCTTAGTCCTTCCACTAGGTGACAACTACCAGGCTAATATTAGCTAGGGACACTGGAAAAGGCATAGCACTGCTTTGCAGCCAGTATTCTACCCAAGACTACAGCATTCTGTCAGCGAAGGGAGTTTGACAACTTTGTCTGGGACAATTGCATTGAAATTTCATGTGCAAATGTGTCCAAAGAGAAATGATGCTTGGCTTGGGTGTGAAAGCACAAGCTCATTAGCTGTCAGGGAACAGGGAAAGCCTGCCCATCACACACCACCGAGGCTAGGTTTGCACTCTGTTCAACATGCTATGTCTGTGGTGTGGAGTCTGAGGCAGTGCCTAACACAGATTGAGTCCTGAGACAGTTTTAAGTTTTAACTGATTTTTATATGTATGGGTGTTTTGTCTCTATGTTTGCCTGTGCATCATATGCATGCAGTGCCCTGAGGGGCCAGAAGAGGGTGTTAGATCCCCTGGGATTGGAGCTGTGAACCTCCAGGTGTGTGCTGGGAATCAAACCCATGTCCTCTTAAAGAGCAGCTAGTGCTCTTAACCACTGAGCCATCTCTCCAGCCCTGGATACTGTGATATGTTCACTGATGGCTACCACACTCACAGCATAAACTCAGAAGGTCTTGAGGGGTTTGTTTTTGTTTTTTCTTTAATACGGAATTTTACTATGCCATCCTGGCAGGCCCAGAACTACTTCAGAGTGCTGAAGCTGAGGGTATGCATCACTGTGCCTGTCTTGACCTGAGAGGTTTAGAATTCTGGCTGTAAAAGCTGATGCTGAAGGATTGCAAGTTCAAGGCCAGCCTGTACAGCATAGTAAGACTGTCTCAAACAAAACCAAATAACAAAGGGGCTGGGGAAGTGGCTCAGTGGTACAGTACTATGTACTTCCTGAGGTCCTGAGTTCCTTCTGCAATACTGCAAAGACAAAAACGTGTTCTTGGTAATGGACCTTTTGAGGTTCTAAAGTGAACCATGGACTTTTTTTAGGAGATAGCTTTTGAGAGAGGATCTTACTATGCATATAGAATGCTCTTTAACTCATGATTCTCTTTCCTCAGTGTGCTGAGTGCTGGGATCCCATGCACCTTGGACCCAGCTACATGGACCTTCCATACAGAAAAACGCATGCATGCTTCTAAACCTGCATGCTATCCTGAGAACTGCAAACAGCTTTGAACCCTCTCCACTGCCCACATTAAGAATCCTGCTTTAAGGCTGGCCTGTTGCCTCAATAGTTAAGAGCACTTGCTGCTCTGGCAGAGGATTCTGTTTCATTTCCCAGCACCCAAATGATTGCTCACAACCACGTGTAGTTCCAAGGGATCTGATGCCCTCTTCTGCCCTCTACAGGTACCAGCACATATGTGGCATACTTAAGCATACGCAGGCAAAACACTCAGACACATAAAATAATTACAGCTTTTTTTTTTTTTTTTAAGCCACAAACAAGTAAACCATGTTCTTCTTGAGGCCTGGAGACCAACTGATTCCCAGAAACCCCAAACAAAGAAAAGGAAAGCAGAACCTCTCTAATCTAACAGCCTCATTTCATATGAAATGAGGTGACCTTGCCAAACTACATAGCCATGAACTAGAACTCTGGTCCCTGATAACCACCAAAGAGCTTTCCTTTGCCTGACCTGCTGATCTACCTTTATCCAGAGTCCCGACCCTACCTCCCACCCTTCCCTGATCCCCTCTGACCTTGGTCTGCTTTTTCTCCGTAGCATAGACTATAGAGGTGCAGCACACCTCGGCGATTTTTCGGCCCTGCCCGTAGAAAGACCAGCAGCAAATCTCGTCCCCCAGGACATCTTTGAGGAAGAGCAGCCGCCCATGGAAGCGCAGGGCTAGTTTGTCAAACAGCTCAATGTTCTTCAGTAAGTTGTCATCTGAAGTGCTGAGAACCAGGGGCCAGCAGGCCTTAGGTGATTGACTGTTTTCCATCCCTCCACTCCCCCCAGAGGGACCCACATTCCCAGCACTCCAGTCCTGTGCAGAAGGGCACTTCCGACTGTGTAGACCTCATAAAGGAAGCATTTGCAGAGCAAATCACTGCCCAGTGTGGAGGCTCCTGGTGCAGGCTCTCACTAGGCTGTCACCAGGCACCCCAGCACTGCCACATTTTAACTAAGCAACATTAGGCAGGTAACTTTATCCTCTGGTGCCACAGTATCATCTCTAGATGGAGACCAACATGTCCTCAAACCATTGGGAGTGTGGATAACAGACAATATTGAGACCAATTCTCTTGGGAAATAAGGAGCTAGCCTATGCTAACCATTATCACAGGCTTGGCTTGAACCTCATTTACTTATGACAGGTGGCACAGCTGGGATGGGACATTCAACAGGCAGGCATTCTGTAGTCTCTGCATATGACCATAGTCCTCCATGGGACAGCAGAGCTGAGCTAAACCTAGGATTCTTCTGAGCATGAAAACACATGGACACATCCTTGACCCACAGGCTCACCTGGTGTAGGAGTACTTGTTGTTACTGCGGTTGTGCAGAAGCTTTACCACAGGCTGTAGGAGAAGCAGAAGGATGCAGTCAAGAGACAGGGAAACAACAGCAGCCATTACAACCATCCAACCCACAGGTCTCCAGGGCCTCACCTTGGAGGTGCTAGCCAGGACCTGCTGCTCTTCCCGGGGTGATGTCACTGTGGGGATGAGGCATAATGGTGACAGCTTCTCCCTTTTTTGCTGGGGAGGAAGTGGAAGTTGGTTAGCAGTACAAGTGGTGTTCACTCACGCCACTTAATGTAAGCTGCTTGGGGGTTGAAAACACTCTTTGGTGTCGTCAAGGCTCACTAGGATGTGACCATTCCACTCCACTCTGGCCATACCATGCACAGCTAGTGTATAATTTAGCATGCTCATCTAAGAGGTTTATTTGTGTGTGTGTGTGTGTGTGTGTGTGTGTGTGTTGTGTGTTGTGTGTAAAATTAACATGAAAGGCCAAGCATGGCAGCAGGTCCCCAGAGGCCCAGCTACTAGAGACTGAGTATCGCTCGTATCCTCCCCATAACTCTACCCTTACCTACCGACCTGCTGTTCTGTAGGCACCCAGCTGGGCTCTCCCTGACTGTATGGGTCAGCCTGCCAGGACTGTGCTCCACTGAGCTTTGTGCACCTCAGCATGCTGGCCCCCACAGGGCAGTTCCACTCCTGCGCAGTTACATAGCTTCCTTGGGCTCAGAGTATTGGCTC